AAAAAGGAAAAAATTAAAATATAATGAAAGAGGAGTGTATAAAAGTAGGTGGGCCATATTTGTGATAGGTGGGCCATCTTCAAAAATCAAATATAAAAGTAGGTGGGCCATGGTGCCACGTGTTGAAAGAAGAGTGAATTTTATTCACTCTTCTTATATAGTAATATATTATTCTGCAGATAACTTATACCAAGAAAAACAACATGTTAATACTATTTTATTTCATAATTTTACCACCGTATATATACCAATTTTGCACTAAAATACTATCAAGAAAAACAAGAAGTTTATACCATTCTATATCATATATATTTTTTTATCATTATATTATTCTAAAAGTAAAAAAAAACGTAATTGAAGAGAAAGAAAAATAAAATTAGAAGTGTAATTGTATTAAGTAAGAAAGAGGAAAAAAAAGGCAAAAATAATGTAACCAATTATAGTTGTGATTGAAAATAAAAAAGTAAAAATAATAAATTATGAAACACATAAAATCAGCCCACTAAGCTAAAAAAATAGGTAAAAAAATCGTATAAAGATATGTATATTTATTAAGTTGTCAGGTTTGTAATTAAAATGATAATGTTGTAAATAAAAAGAGTAAATTAACATTATGTAAATTAAAGTCTTAAATTGAATATTCTAGTAATTTTTCCTTTTTTTTTTTTTTTATGCTCTGTATAATGAAACTAGTATCTGGACACGTGCTTTGCACGTGTATTTCATGTTAATTTGTTCAAACTTTTTCATTGAGATGGAGGGAGTATATAATAGTTAAATATATGGGTTTATCGGAAGAAAGTTTTGCCTACTAGAGATAAAAAATCTTTTGATAAAAAAGTAATTAAAGTATTTAAAATTATTTATAAATACTAATATATCGTATATATTTGATTATGTATATGATTGTTATTTTTTTTCTTCAGTTTCTTTTAATAAAATCAAATATTATTGGTTTTTGAAAATTTAAAATCGAATCAAATACAAATAACTATCGATTTATTTTAATTAGTTTGATTCGATTTTTAACCAAATCATGAACACCCGTATATGACAATATTTTAAAAAACTGAAATACCTAGGATGGGTGATTTTATATGCCATCAAACTTTGAGAAAAAATTCATCTATGTCATTCGTTAAAAGCTTGACTCCCCTATGCCGTTTTCGTTTGAGTAATGACTCATAAATGCCATTATTTGTTAACTGAAATGATATAGATGAACCCAACTTTTTACAAATGACATAAATAAATCTATTTTGAAAGTTCAATGACATATTTGAGCCTTTTCACTTAAAAATGTGATTTAATTGATGACTTGACCGAATCATAGTTGACCACATGTAAAAAATGATTTTGCAAAACGGAACTGTTTTTAGTTAACAAATAATGACATGGATGAGCCTTTTCTTGAATGGAAACGACATAGATGAGCCAAACTTTTAATGAACGACATAGATGAATATTTTCTCAAAGTTCGATGGCATATTTGAGCTTTTCCCTTAAAATTATTTATAAATATATTAATATATCTACTAAAAAAACAGCGTTTAGCAACGGATATTAGCGATGAACGATATTCTGTCACTATATAACGACGGATTTGCGACGGAATAATCATTTTATTGCAAAATTAACAAATGATTTTTTGATTTATAATATAGCAACGGATGTGCAACGAAATATTTAATTCGTCGCTAAATATTAGCGCCTTTTTTTCCTACGGATTTAGTAATAAAGTAGGGGTGACAAATTTGATTAATATTGGGCGACGGAAAAAAAGTTGCTAAACTACTAAATATATTTTTATAAAATTTATATTATATAGTGACGAAAATATCCGTCAATATTTTTTTTTCTAAATATATAAATTTATTTGAAAGCGACGGATGTTAGAATCGTCACTAATTCCGTTGCAAATTTTTTTAAAGTGATATTCTAGGGCACAAAATTTTCAACATTTCAAGTCCCTCTCTAGAAACTCACGCTCTCAAGCTCTGAAACTCCAATGAAGGCTCTCAAGCTTTGAAGCTTCCATCTCCCCCCAAGTCTCCATCTCGAAGTTCTGAAGCGAACATTTTGAAGCCTCCATCTCGAAAGGTAAGCGCTCAAACTCTCATCTCCATTTCGATTTCATTTAGCTCAACTAGGAATTTCAGTCTGCAAAATAGGAACCCCAACTAGGAATTTTGGTCAGATTCCTGCATTTGGATATCAGATTAACTCGACATACCATTGTTTTCCAGTTTCAACTCGACACACCATTGTTTTCCAGTTGCAAAATATGAACCCTAACTAGGAATCGTTTCACTCGACACACCACTGAAAATAGAGATTTTAGTGATTTGGGTGTTATGAAAATATGATAGTTTAACTCTGAACTCTTTCCATTTCATTTAACTTGAAGTAAGATTGGTATTTTCTCAAAAATAGGGGTTCTAGAAATTTGACTGTTCTGAAAATAGTGGTTTTTTTAGAAGTAATTTTTTTTTGAAAATAGGTGTTAGGGTTCAAGCAAGCATTTGGAGTTATTCTCAAGAGTTTTTTGGAACATTGGTATGCTTAATAGTGTTATTACTGAAGGGGCTTGAAGTTCTCTGCATACAAGGGCTTGTGTCAGTGTGGCAACTTCTTAATGGTTTTACTTGAGGAACCTGTTTAGGTAGAATATCATACTGTACTGCATGTAGAAGGAACTTGTTTAATTAGTACAATATGATATTCTACCTAAACAGGTTCCTCAAGTAAAACCATTAAGAAGTTGCCACACTGACCCAAGCCCTTGTATGCAGAGAACTTCAAGCCCCTTCAGTAATAACACTATTAAGCATACCAATGTTCCAAAAACTCTTGAGAATAACTCCAAATGCTTGCTTGAACCCTAACACCTATTTAAAAAAAAAATTTACTTCCAAAAAAACCTCTATTTTCAGAACATTCAAATTTCTAGAACCCCTATTTTTGAGAAAATACCAATCTTACTTCAAGTTAAATGAAATGGAAAGAGTTCAGAGTTAAACTATCATATTTTCATAACACCCAAATCACTAAAATCTCTATTTTCAGTGGTGTGTCGAGTGAAACGATTCCTAGTTAGGGTTCATATTTTGCAACTGGAAAACAATGGTGTGTCGAGTTGAAACTGGAAAACAATGGTATGTCGAGTTAATCTGATATCCAAATGCAGGAATCTGACCAAAATTCCTAGTTGGGGTTCCTATTTTGCAGACTGAAATTCCTAGTTGAGCTAAATGAAATCGAAATGGAGATGAGAGTTTGAGCGCTTACCTTTCGAGATGGAGGCATCAAAATGTTCGCTTTAGAGCTTCGAGATGGAGACTTGGGGGGAGATGGAAGCTTCAAAGCTTGAGAGCCTTCATTGGAGTTTCAAAGCTTGAGAGCGTGGGTTTCTAGAGAGGGACTTGAAATGTTGAAAATTTTGTGCCCTAGAATATCACTTTAAATTTTTCTGCATTGGAATTAGTGACGATTCTAACATCCGTTGCTTTCAAATATATATATTTAGAAAAAATCATATTGACGGATATTTTCGTCACTATATAATATAAATTTTATAAAAATATATTTAGTAGTTTAGCAACTTGTTTTTCTTCACTAATTCCGTCGCCCAATATTAATTAAATTTGTCACCCCTACTTTGTTACTAAATCCGTAGGAAAAATAAGGCGCCAAAATTTCGCGCTAATATTTAGCTACGAATTAAATATTCCGTTGCACATCCGTTGCTATATTATAAATCAAAAAATCATTTGTTAATTTTGCAACAAAATGGTTATTCCCAAATCCGTCGTTATATAGTGACGGAATATCGTTCATCGCTAATATCTGTCACTAAACACTGTTTTTTTAGTAGTGATCGTATATATATAATTATAAAATTTATGTATATAATTGTCATTTTTTTTAATAAAAACAAATTAAATCAAATACTATTGATTTTTTAAAATTTAAAACCAAACCAAATACAAATAATTATTAATTTATTTAATCGGTTTGATTCAATTTTTAACCGAACCATGAACACCATATATAACATTTTTAAAAAAAAACTAAAATACCTTGGATAGATGATTCTATTTTTTTTTTTTGTAACTAACTATTTTATTTACAAAAGTAGACAGTTACCTTACCGGTCAAAAAAAAACAACAACCAGGAATCCTCCAAGCTGCAGGAGAGAAAGTAAACTCCTTCTCCAACTCTCTTCATCAAAAAGATGTGATCCTCCAAATTGTGCAAATTCAAATAGGAAAAGAATATATCCGCTCTAAATTACAAAGTTATCACGTGCTTTTCGATTGGAATATATACTAACACAGAGAAAGCAAACTGTGTTAATTAGTGCCATGGATAGAATTTCACAGTTACCACCAGAAATTCTTCACCAAATACTCTCTCTTCTCCAAACTAAAACTGCTGCTCAAACCGCCGTGCTGTCCAAACTATGGCTTAAAGCATGCTATACCAATCCCCATCTTAATTTTGATCAATTTGATTTCTACACTTCTTCTGATGAATCTGATTTCGACACTTCTGATGATGAATCTGATGACGAAGCTGAAATTGAACCACGGCATAGCGATAGTTTCTACGAATCTCATGTTGAATTCTCAAGGATGGTAGACAGTATTTTGGAAAGATATCGCCGTGAAAATCTACCGATTTCAGATTTTAACCTTCGTATCTCTTTTTCCGATCAAACTGATTGTGAAGGTCTAGTCGATAAATGGTTAGATATTATAACAGAGACAAGGGCTTCACAGGTAACACTTTTGGTGGAAAGCAAAACCGAAGATTATTCCGAAAGATATACTCTGTTAGCTGATTCTATCTTCGCAATAGAATCGTTGCAGCAGTTGGAGCTAAATCACTGCAAAATACTGAAAAGGAGAACACTACTTTCCGAAGATGAAATTAGGTGCATTCACCTAAAAAATCTCACATTGCAATTTGTTACTGTTTCTGAATCAACACTCAACACTCTAATTTCATGTTGCCCTCGGATTGAGACGATATCACTTCAATACTGTATCGGGTTCAATTGCATTCGTGTTACAAAAAGTCTTCATAACCTTTTGTCTCTTAGTATCTTGTCCTGTCAAATTGAGGAAGTTCATATTTTCGATGCACCAAAATGTGTCCTGGTTTCCGAGTTCTAGTTCAAGGCAGGGCAGGACGGGACTCACGGGGGTTGGGGGGAGCCTTCCCCCAGGGAAAGCCTAATAAGACTCATTCTAATACTTGAGTTCAAGCTCCTACTTCGAAGTAAGCCTATGGGTTGTTTCGAAGCTTAGTAGCTAAAGCGTACTTGCGTGTTAAAGGGGGTACGCGGATTTGGGCTACTAAGTGGAACCAGACCATTCAACTTGCCATTTGCACTCTCCTAGGGTGCGATCGTAGGAAGCTCTATTAGCGAATGCAATTCCCCGCCCGATAAGACTGATCATGCCCTGCTGCTTGGCTTGGAATCAAACTAGCCTATCATGCCCTTTCTTCATTCCTATATGGACCCATATTCCTATGTTCTTCCAATGTTTACTGTATTACTGGGATTCCTATTTACTGAACCATATCAAAGAAGCTACTTTCTTTCTGGCTTTTATACCCAGGTATAAAGGGATAGACAGTCTAAGAGAGTGCCAAGAAAGAACACATACCTATCACTTTTGGAAGGTTTGGAACCCTCGATTCATCCGACTCAAGGAGAAAAAGAGAACAAGATGGGGGGGCTTGCCTCCTCGTTCCCTTTTAAACGAGTGGGAAGCTTATTCACCTAATAAAATATGTCTGCGTGTGTTGAATATTGGTACTTGTCGGCAGAGGCGAATCTAGGATTTTTCGAACATGGGTGCACCAAGTAGAATGTATTGAAGTGAGAATTGATCCTTCATCCTCAAGGTCAAAAGCTCAACATTTAACCATGTGGACCATTTAGACTTCTTGTAGTACGGGTGCAAGAATATAATATTATACAAAATCTTAAAAATATACATATAAAATATCTAGTTTTACGAAAAGACCACGGGTGCGGATGCCCTTTTTTTTGGCTCTAGATTCGCCACTGCTTGTCGGAATCTGAGAAGAGTAGAGTTTGTGGAAGCTGGAATTGATGATATGTTTCTCTTCGAGCTTATACCAAAACTACATTTCATCAAGGAGTTGATGTTACAGTTTTGTGAGTACTTGAAAGAAATAAATATCTCAAGTTCAACACTCGAGGTTTGTAGTATAGTTAAGTGTGATTTATTAGTACAAGCCATTTTTGATACGCCCAAGTTACTCTCCTTAGCCTTCTCCAAACAATGTAAACTACCCTGTTTATCTTTCATAAGTGCTTCAAGCCAATGCAGAATTTCCATAAAGTATGACACTATAATGGATACCGAGCAGTTGATGAACTTACGGAGATCTCTAGTTGAGTTGCGTGATCAGGTTGTAGATTTGACATTGCCTAGTATTGATAAGGATTTGAGATTAGCAAGTAAAATTGATCATCTTCCTCCGCCTGAAGTTGAGAATTTATCATCTTATTGTCCGAATTCAGCTTATTCATCTTACTTTGATCTCATCTTCTCAATTTGTTGGCCCAAGAGTTGGATAATACAGTACTGTGACGAAGATTTTGGAGAGTATCTACGTAAACTGTTGTTGAAGGAGAAGGAGAGACGATGGAGATTTATCGAATGTACTTGGAAAGAGTATCTCATGAATGCTGAGATAGAGTACAAGAAAAGGACACGAAACGATTGGATGACTCTTGATAGGAAAATGTTGGCAGCTGACTCTCGTATTTTTGATGAGATTAATACAATGTGCTTCAAGCAAACTCAAAGAAGAGAGAAGCATAAATATTCTTGCATTTCCAGGTAACGATTCGTTATGTACAATGTGTGAATTATGATTAGGTTCTCTCCATTTCCGAACAATTAATGGAGTTTGTTATTTGTGCAGATGGATTCCGAGTTGGATAGCTCATATTGGAGTGATCGATATGGATAACTCATTCTTCTGTCATTTCTTCTTTGCTTTATTTCTTTGTGTTATTTGCTTTATTTCTTCTTTATTTGGTCTGTAACGCGACTTTATTTTAGTTTCTTATTAATGTCTTATGTTTCCGAGTTGAGGAAGTTCATGTTGTTGATGCACCAAAATTGCTATCTTTCGAATATCTGAACCAAGATAACAAGGTGAAAGAATCAGTCAAGACATTTGATGTCTACAGGGTTCTTACAGTGTCGGAGCTAGCAGGTTACATACAGGTTCAGCTGAGATCAGTAGTTGTAGTTCAAAGTTCAAACCATGTACTTGTAGTAAGAGATCCACTAAATATGTATACAACTAAGTTCACGATACCTTTGTGGGGTAGAGAAGATGTTTCCATAGACCCTCGACTCAAAAGGAATGTATCCAATACAGGATTAAAATAAACTAAAACAATAAAATATCAAGGTAGTCCGCCCGTGTCTCTCTCACACACAAAGTGAGACAACACTCAGCTATGAGCTACCTACTGACCTTCTACCCTAATACTCAAACTCCATCAAATTATTGGGTAAATTAAAGAAAATAAGAAAAGATAAAGCAAAGAAGATAGCTGAAAAAATGAGTTATCGATCCCTCCATGATGAGGTATCCATCTCGGACGGCATCAGCAGAAATAACAAACTCCATTAATTGTTAGGAAAGGGAAAGGGGATGGAAACTGGAAGACGTGATCAATATCATAATTCATACATTGTACAGTGTAAGGCGGATTGTATTCATCTCTTCAATAATACGAGTGTCGGCTGCCACTATTTTCCTATCAAGAGTAATCCAATCGTCTTGTGTCCTTTTCTTGTACTCTATCTAAGCATTCATCATATACTCCTTCCAAGTACATCTCGTAAAACTCCATTGTCTCTTCTTCAACAATTGTTGTCGTAGATACTTTCTAAATCTTTTGTCACCTTCCTGAAATGTTAAACTCTTGGGCCAACAAATCGAGAAGATGATATCAAAGTAAGTAGTTGAATAGTAAGGAGTAAGTATCAAATTCACAACTTCAGGTATCGGAATATGATCAATTCCACTAGCTCCTCTCAAGCCTATATAGATACAAAACAATCTCAACTCTACAACTTGATCACGCAATTCAATTAGAGATCTCCGTAAGTCAATGTACTTCTCTTCATCCCATAGATCACCATAATATATAGAAATCCTGCATTTGCTTGAAGGACTTTCGAAAGATAAACAAGGTAGTCTGGTATGTTTATCCAACCTATGTATATCGATTGTAAAGTAGAGAAAATGAACCCTATACAGTATTGAAATGATATCGTCACGATCTGAGAGCAACACGAAATTAGACTATCAAGTGCTGATTCAGTAACAGTAACAGAGCACAAAGTTAGTTTTTTTAGGTTACTGCACTTAATTTTATCTTCGGAAAGTAGTGCTTTTTGTTTCAGTATTCTGCAGTGATTCATCTTCAACTGCTGCAACGATTCTATCGCAAATATGGAATCAGCTAACAAACTATATTTTTTAAAATAATTTTCAGATCTGCAATTCACCAAAAGTGAAACCTGTAAAACACTTTTCTGTGCTATGATAGCTAACCATTTATCGATTAGACCGTCACAATCAGTTTGATCGGAAAAATAGATGCGAAGGTTAAAACTGAAATCGGTAGATTTTCACGGCGATATCTCTCCAAAGTATTGTCTACAATCGTCACGAATTGATTATGAAAGTCTATGAACATACCGTTATGCAGCCGCAGGTGGTTTAGAATCATATTGATCAAAACAGAGATAGGGATTTGTATAGCCATGGCTTCGACAACACGGCAGTTCGAGCAGCAGTTTTAATGGGGAGAAGAGAGAGTATTTGGTGAAGGATTTCAGTTGGTAAATCTGAAATTCTATCCATGGCAGTAGCAGAGCTTGTTGAGAGTTGTGAGGTGTATAACCAGGATAAAATGCACGACTTTTATTCTGTGTTTGTTTGGAGGTATTAGGCTGTTCTGTAATTATTTATCCCACTATTTAATTAATCTTGGGATAACTTGTTCTCAAACGAACGACCCATATAATTGGAAGAATTTGTTTACACTACACGGCAGACCAATTAGATTAAAGTTTTTTATTAGCTAAACCTCAGAAAAAATAGAACTGACATTTTACACTCTTCAGGAAGTTAAAAATGCATTTTTCACGGGAAATGTTTAATACCACAAAATTAAATGACATTTTGGAATATTCTACATATATTTAGTTTAAAATCATAAGATTTAAAAATCTTCTTTACGTTCTTAAACTTTGTGTCGAGTCAAAATCAGGCAAACAAATTGAAACAGATGGAGTAGTATAGTTCTCAAATTCCTGTTCTGCAGCACTGAGTGGATTGGTTAGCATTAATCCTGCAGTAATGTATATGAAAAAATGATAATTGTTTATGCAAGTATCGACTTATGATGGTGTTTCAGAGAGCTCGCATTTCTATCACGTATTTGTTAACAGGTAAATCTGCGCACCAAGACTTTGACAGATATAAAGAACTATCTAAGTAGTACTTTTTGTTGTAAGTCGACAAAAATATCAAATCCAATCAATTCGAGACCATACCAACAGCATAACATTGGAGGTCCAATGGAGAAAATGAAAATAAGCTTAAATGGACATAAACAGCTAACCTCAAAGCAAGTCTACAACCAAAATGAAAGAAAACAACTCAAAATAATCCCAAGCCATATGGATCACTCCGATTGATGAGCTATTCATTTCGGAATGCATCTGCACAAATAATATACTCTGTTAATTGTTAAGAAAGGGAAAGGGGATGGCACAAATAATATTGTAATTCATAGAACAATTTTACATAACGAAACGTTACCTTAGAATATATGATTCTTTCTTTATCTCTTTTCTTTGAGTATGGTTGAAGCGAATTATACGGATTTCTTCAATAATACGAGGGTTAGATGCCAACATTTTCCAATCAAGAGTCATCCAGTCGTCTCCTCCCCGTTTCATGCAATCTATCTGAGCATTTATGAAATATTCTTTCCAAGAACATTTAGAAGGTCTCCTCCACCAGCATTTCTTCAACAATTGTTGACATACGAACTTTCTAAATTTGTTGCCACAATGTACAGTTAAATTCTTGGGCCAAC